TCAGAGTTACATCTCCAAATTTCTGAAGAATAATGATTTCCAATGTAGAATTCTATTTTCAACTAAATCATTAATCCAATGTAAGCGTAGAAGAAAGATATTTTGAACATGAAAAATCTTCTAAAAACTTGCATCTATCTTGAATTCTGTCTCAAAACTCCATTGGAAGATGCATTCTACCAAAATCAGTGCCTAAGTCAGACAGAGACAGGCAGGCGTTTAGGCCACGGGGCTCCCCCAACGAGGGCAGGCTGATGCTGAGGGCAGGTGACTGAGACAGAATGGAGGAGCAAATTAACGTCAAGCCCACAGAAAACAAAGCAAACAAACCAAACAAAATTACTAACTCTGGTGAAAGCAGACACAGGAATACCAACGCTGGTACTCTGAATAAACCTTCACAAAGAAGACAACCAAGGAGTCGCCAGTTTTTGTTTAATATTCTTGTCCTCTTCGTATGCATACACAGTCTGACAAATTAAGTTCGTGAACTTGTTGCAACAATGTTGCTAACCTTTTCTGATATCAGAGCAATTATTCATTATGAATTTGTACCAACTCGGCAGTTAACCAAGTTTACTATTTGGAAGTGCTGAAAAGGCTGCGTGAAAAAGTTAGATGGGCTGAACTTGTCGCCAACAATTCATGGCTCTTGCATCACGACAATGCACCAGCTCACACGGCACTGTCTGTGAGGGAGTTTTTAGCCAGTAAACAAATAACTGTATTGGAACACCTTCCCTACTCACCTGATCTGGCCCCCAATGACTTCTTTCTTTACCTGAAGATAAAGGAAATATTGAAAGGAAGACATTTTGATGACACTCAGGACATCAAGGGTAATACGATGACAGCTCTGATGGCCATTCCAGGAAAAGAGTTCCAAAATTGCTTTGAAGGGTGGACTAGGCGCTGGCATTGGTGCATATCTTCCCAAAGGGAGTACTTTGAAGGTGACCATAGTGATATTCAGCAGTGAGGCACGTAGCACTTTTTCTAGGATGAGTTCACCAACTAGGATGTTTTATGTCCCCTTAGCCAAGTGCAAGATTATCTGCTCAGACCCGTGTTTGGCAGATTAAAATCTACACGTGGCTCTTGGTACACATTCCACCACAGGCTGAGTATAAGAATGTCAACACACAAAGTAATCGTGGTCAATACGTCCCAGTTCACCTGCACGTGCCATTACCCACTCATCTTCCACTTCAATATTTAAATGATTTAGAACGAATATTGAAACAGCAACCAAAACCCCAAGGTAAAGGAAACAAAGGAAGAGCCAGTCTAAAGATAGCAACTGTCTAAAATTTGAGTTGTCTGAATGAGAAAAGATGCCTAAGTATCATGCAAGGTAACACGAGAAAATCCCCAGCAAGTAACCGTGAGGAGTGTAAACCCAGACCTTCTCTATTACTAAACCATAAAGCAGGGCGAGCCATTTATCTAAAAGAGCATACGCTGTGGGTTTTGCTCAATGGATTCTACGTGCCGACTGCTCTCATTCAGAGCTGGTAATGCACAGTCGGCCGCGACGACCTGGGGCTTCACGGTTCTATTGCTTAGGAACAGGCAGAGTTGGCTCAGACAGCCTTCCTCATGACTATATTATCCGCAGCTGTAGTTACACGTTGGGCCGAAGACTTCTGTAGTTTTACGGGAGAGGGAATTAGGGAAGTTTATTTCGCTGGGTAGGGGGCTGGTAGAAAAAGGATGTTTTCTTTGGAACATTTACAGGGCTGAGAGGAGACAAAACGAGAAAGCAAAAGCCAGCAAAGGGGAATCGGGGTGAGTTTGAGTCACATAATGTGATTCTTTTCCCATTCTCCACCAGCCCAACCACATTCCTCTCTGGGGCCTGAAAGAATCTGCTTCCTGGAGTCTTGAAGGCCCACCCACCAGATGCTGAGCTTGCGTCTGAGGGTCTTTTCTGCAGTAATGCCACACACTATTCCTAAAACAGAGCCCAAGTGACCACTTGGCTTGGTTAGGAGCAGAGACCCTGAGAGCACTGGAGCCTGTTTCTTTCAGCATCAGCATGGAGTCCAGGACACATACACAGCTGACCTTCCAATTCCTAACCAGGTTCTCAGCACACAAGTGTGTACAGCTTGGACAGCAAACCGAAGACAAAAGCATGTGCAGTTCAAGATAGCTTTTACTGCACAGACTGAACCAACCGCTGGCTAGATTTTTGTTGTTTCTTTTTAGTAAGAAACAGGAAGTGGGTAGCTAGTGGTTTATGTCAAGTGAAGGAAGACAGACAGCAGTCTGTACTGTGTGGCTGCATGTGTGTGAAATCTATGGAGGAGAAAATCGTAAGCGTGGGCTGGGGCAGGAGGGAGAGCTCTGTAGGGTGAAGGAAATGTCTTATATCTTGGTACTGTTTTGCGTTACACAGGGGTATGCATGTGCCAAATATACACTTCAATGTATGCGTTTCATGATATGTAAAGTCTACCTCAAAGGAAAAAGAATGTAAGCAAATTTTAAAGTCGATTTAATGAAGGTAAGCTGAAATATTTAAGGGGGAGTACTAATATCTGCAAGTATATTTTTATCCCTGTGGACTTAATCAATGTCACGTGGCAGTGTCTGATGCTGCTATTGTCATATAAATGTACTGGAGGATCAAAAAGAAGGAAGGGAAAGTTCTACCATGTGCTGACACAGGGACCTCGGGCAAGTAGTTTCAGCCATCTGTGTACCCTCGTGTACCCTCGTGAAAGTGGAGATAGCGATTATCTGCTTTGAAGCGTTGTTCAGTAGATAATGCATGGAAATCACCTGTCACACTGCCTGGGACAGAGCACACACTCAGTAAATGGCAGTTAATAATGAGGACACCAAAGCAGACGGCATCAATAACAGTGGGCAAACTCGGCGATCTTGCGCGTGACAGAGCTAGTGAACCTGATTCCAGCCTGTGCTTTTCACCGTGTGGGCAGGTGATGCAGACGCATGTGTCTGGCCTCCTTCCCATGGAATAACCTTAGCAACGCACCCCCTATCTGTATGAAGAATAAACAAAACAACAGAACTTTAGCCAGTCATAGATTTGATCTATTCAGGAAAGAATATCTTGAACAATAAAAAAAATGGCACAAACCTATAATGCATTAATACCTCTGTTTTACATTATACAATATATAATGAAAACAAAACAAAACAGCTGCTTAACAACCCTGGGAACTGTATCTGAGTGACATGTGCTACATTTTTAAAAGACTATGAACTAAATTGTGTGAAGACCAAAAGAACACTGACATTATTCTGTTTCACAAATGAAATATTTTTGTTTCTTTTCACATTTTTACTTGCCGATATTGTGGAATTCAGGTCTCAAGAATTCACTCAGCGTTATTTTCAATATTAGAGGGGAAAAGAAAATGTCATTTCTAGCCAGTATAAAAATTCACTATACATGTTTTCACCTTAAAATTGTTTTCGTTAATTTTTTAAATCAAAGTCTCCACTCTATTAAAATGTTTTAAATCATTCTTTGCAGAAAATTGGGGTGTAGAATTACACACTTTGGGGAAAACATCAGCAAGCAGTACTGGGAGATTTCTCTGTTGTGCTGTTTTCAACCATTACAAGATGTCGGGTGAATTCCAATATGCGTCGTCATTTCTGAAAAATTGTATTTGTGGTGGACTCGATAAAGCTGGGCTTCTCAATAAATCTGGGCTCAACACGCAAATCCTTGCAACTGTCTTTTAAAGACACAAAGCCTCCAATTATCTACCTAACTGGGCATTTCTCTTAGCAAATGTGGAACTGTATTCTGCTGGAGAAAACAGAGAGGCTACTCTCTCTGCTGGTATAATAAAGACTCTATCACAAAGAATAAACAAGTAAATGAACAGCAATAAACTTAATTTGCACATTAGATATGCTTTTCCAAGTTCCGACATTTCAGTTGAAAATAATGCTGAAGCAATGAGGCCTATAATTGAACATCCAGAACTTCCCCAGTGGGGAAACAAAAACAAATGTTGCCGGCAGACAAGATCATCTTTATAGCCTGCTGTTACTCTGCTTTTTAATAATTTTCCAAATGCCAGATCGAATAATTTCCCTGTTTATGTGATTTTCATATACCTCTTTGTGTATGTCACATGGTAATTTTAACCCGAGTCCTGCAAAATGAAAACACTTCCGCTCTCTCCGTGTCCCTCAATTACACCCGAGTCTCCAAGCAGGGCTCAGCCGGCGCTAATTGTGCTCCCCAATCTGAATGGAAAACCACCTCACCTGTTGCACTAGAAAAAAAGAAATACATCCAGTGCAGATAACTTCAGGATTCTCTTAACACAGATAAGCCCTATCAGCTAAAAACGAAGCTGGAAAATATCTTACTTTTGTAACTATTATCTTTTTACATGCTATCTCACAACATTTCTCACAACATTTCTTGCATGACTGAGACTGATAAGGATATTCAAAGAGAGATGATTGTTTTATCAGCTTTATGGACATTTCTCATTTGCTTCTTATCACTCTATTACCAGTAAGGTCACTACAAGCTGATTTTGGTTTGAGAAACACAATTATATTTGATTCTGTAATGACAATCAGATGAGCATTATAGGTGAGTAAACACACACACACACACACACACACACACACACACACACACACACACACACACACCAAACCTTTTTTTAACAAACAACCAGAGTACTACACTCTTATAGTCAGGAAAACGGTTGAATCAGTGCATGTATTGTAATTATTATATATCTTTCTCAGATTAAAACTTCAGCTTTGTAGGTTGTAAAGTAATAATTCTGTGGCAGTGATACCTCCGACATTACCCCATGAGAGGGAATTGCAGACACAGCCTCATTAAGAGGGTGTGATAATAATAGTCTTCGCTTAGGACTGGATTTGCATAGCAATGCCATGCAAATGACTGGTATTCATGCCAACTGAATGCACCCTTCCCTTCTGCTGATGTGAGCCGTCCTCTGGTCTGTGCTGAAAATACCAGAACACTGGTTCTCCCAAAAACATCTTTAGAGTTTTCACGGAGCTTCACATTTGAAACCCCTTGCAGAGTGGGCTCTCTATGAGAAACATACAACTACAAACCCTTAAACTGGGAAAGTGAGAGCATTTATTTAGAAGTTTGTTATTTTCCTTTGATGCTCGTTGATTGCAAATTGGCCTAAGAAGCTTAAAGCCTGCAACACTGAAAACTTGCAGGTTGTACAGCGAGGAAGTCAGAGTGGAAACTATCCCTGTGAACTAACGGATGTAAGGTGAGATCTTTTCAACTCAATCACTCAATGTTTATTGAACACGTACAGCTCCCAGGGCTGTTCAGGATTTGTGACATCCCTGCCTTTTTTACGCTTCTTTCCGAGGAAAGTAAAGATAGAGAAAGAAACCATGGACAGAAATGTGTGGATGGTAGTTTGTAAAAGGATGCAATGTGCTACAGAACAAGAAAGGGTGAGAAATATTAAGGAGACCAGGAGAGCAGGTTGGGATCATTTTGTTTCAATAGTCCCAGCAAAGAGTGCCAGAAATAAACAAAAATGTAAGTCAGTGCTTTTTTGCTTTTTTTTTTTAAACTGAGGAATCTTCTTTTCTTACTTGTAGCGAGAGTCAAGTATTGAGTTGTTGGAAAAGTCATGACACATTTTTTTCAACGAAAAACAGAAAAATACATCATGACTTTTCCGACAACCCAATACATGGGGATGATGTGTATTTTATGGGCAATCCCAAATATCGATCAATGTCTTTCTATCCTAAGAACTGGGAACCTATGTAGCAGAAAAAAAAGACGGTGCTGCCTGCCCATCGGAGTATCCGATCGCTGCCCCGGGAACGAAGCACAGCCCCTGCCCCTGAGTTTCTCATGCTTATGTGACTCTTCGCTTATTTCTCTCCCGATAATTACTACCAGACAGTGTCATGACTCCAAAGCCTCAAGAAACATTTGAGGAAGAGACTATTCATCGGTTCAGTCTACCCATTCATTATTTTTTTCTTAATCTCAGGTGGAAGGACCCCTATCGCTGCATTTTAGCACCCAAACCATTGGTCCAGCTCTACAGAGACTTTCTCTGAGAAAACTCATTTCTACTCCCGATGTCTTCTGTCCTTCATATTTCATATTTGAATTCCCCCTGGATTTCTCTACCTGGAGAAATTAACTGCGATGGTGTTTGCTCCTCCATCCTATTTTATCATTTTGCTTAAATAAAATGAATGCAAGCCACCTGCCCCTTCTTAATTTGCAAGGAGGTGATCTCTCTCTCTCTCTCTCTCTCTCTCTCTCTCTCTCTCTCTCTCTCTCTCTCTCTTTCTTAATGGACAAGCTATTTGTTCAAGCATAAAGCATTCACACTTGTCATTATCCGGGTATTACCAAACATTTCCTGGAGAAACACCCTATCATTAATTATAGCTACAGCACATTCCTTGAGACATTAAGTCCATTTTTGTCTTAAAAATCTGATAATGATACAATCTTAAGGAAGTGAAGTTTTTCAAAATGCGCCATACCAGTTGGATTTTGACACAAGTCTATCAGTCACATTTCCCTGAGGATTTCAGACAATTGTCGCCATAATGTATGAGACAAAATTGACAGAAATATCTTCCGGGGATAAAGGTGGGGGTTTATTTTCCTTGAGACATTGTAAAGGGTAGTGAAATATACCTAACTACTTTTTATTGAATACATTTACTTTTAATAGAAATGATGATAAAGCTAACTACTTTTTATTGAATACATTTACTTTTAATAGAAATGATGATAAAGCACCAATCGCTAAATTGAATCATTTCAGCTTAATTAGCTGCTCAAACTACTTTATCAAGACAGTCATTTTTATCATCCAGGAAGCCATGAAATGCTAAAAGTGACATGGCTTCCAGTAAACATACTAGTTTTATGAGCCAAGTATCAAGGAAGCGTCTGTGCCCTTCTAACACTAATTGCATCCCTTGGTGAAATCTGTGGGTACTTTGAGAGCGACACTAGTTTCAAAGTCTAAAGAAGAGATTGTGCAGTCTTACCATCCTGAACTGTATGATATGATCTGTTTATATAACAATGATTCCTGGGCCGGCCGAGTGGCTCAGTTGGTTAAGAGCTTGCTCAATAGTTTGAGCTCTGAGCAATAGCGGTTCGATGCCCAGCCCGAGCTGAACAGCCGCTGAGCTGCCAACAGGTGGCAGGATGGCTCAGCTAAAACAAACAAACAAACAAACAAAAACAATGACTCCTAAGGACACTAATATTTTCTTTTTCCTCTTAAAAAACCCCACAAAAAACGCTTATTAAAATATGTGCAAGAGTCTGCATTTAACCAGTGACGTACTAGAGTTATATAAATAAATGAACTGATTATGTACTTGGCAGCCTTCTACCCAGGTAAAAATTTCATACAAAATGAGGCTTTCTGAAGGAAACTGAACCAACAAACACATTATCCACTAACTTTATCAAACTGCCCACGTCCCCCCGCACTGAGGCATTTGTGAAAATTCCGATACTTTGGCAGCGGGTGTGATTTCTGTGTGATTCCCCACTGGCTGCATTTCGAGTGCCGAAGCGTTCCCACCGGGCCTGCTCCCCCCCTGGCGATGACCGCGTTCAGGATGCACAAAGGAAGGCAGGAGACGACGGAATACCTTTGACGATGAGGCTGCCCGTGTGCCTGGCCACGCCAAACTGGTTTGTAGCGACGCAAGTGTAGGACCCGGCGTCTGACCGGCTCACGTTATGTATCTTCAGGCTGCCATCCTCCAAGAGAAACACTCTGAAAGGAAAATACGTAAGGCTCTTTAAAAGTGGGTAAGTCTTAACCACACCCTTCCATTTTAAGTCATGACTAAAACCGTGGGTGTGTATGATAAGGTGAATGCATTCCTTTCCTAATATTATATTCTTTTTCTTTTTTTTTTTTTTTAGCTGAGCTGTCCTGCTACCTGTTGGCAGCTCAGCGGCTGCTCAGCTCGGGCTGGACTCGAACCGCTGTTGCTCAGAGCTCAAACTCTTGAGCAAGCTCTTAACCAACTGAGCCACTCGGCCGGCCCCATAATATTATATTCTTAATTGTCAGCAATCTCAGAATCCACTATTAGAATAATGCCATTTGCTTTTATGCTGACACAGCACTGATAATTATCACACCATACCCTGAATTAGCATTGTGGATGTCAATGCACACTGGAAATCACATGCCTGCTTGAGGCTGCAATGCCCATTTGCCTGATTAATAACAAATGTGACTATTTACTGTGCATTTTGAAAAGTCAACTCCCTGGTAGACGTGAACTTAACATTGGAGAAATGCAAGCCAGTTTCTCCTTGTTTAGTCCTGCTCTTGCATAGCAGCCCTTCCCCCACGAAGCAGCCAGTCCCATCAAAAGGGGAACGGAGGAGTAGAAAGAATGAAGGCTTCATTAACCAAACTGAATTAACCGTTCCCAAAATGCAGGCAGCCACAGAGCACGCAATAGAGGGGAGCTACTGAAGAAGTTCCAGTCTTTCACAAAATGATTATTTTCTTTGAAAATCAGAAATAGTCAGAAGCAAACATCAGAATGCTGTAGTAACCGGGGGAAACCCCATGGCTGGCTTCTTGACAATATCACCATCATCTGTGTTCATAAGGAGACAAAAAGAATGGAAGAACCAACGCATCTGCCCAGTTTTGTGTCTTATAAGTTTAATTAGCCACCTTGTAAAAACATATCTCTACAAACACTAATGGGTAGTCAGGACTGTCCAAACACTAGTGATGAAAACTAATTTTTAATGCCAATAGTTTTCAAGGAAGGAAAGGCAAGACAATTGGTATGCATGTCACATCCACTAACAAGAACAAAACAGTGTTTGTTGCATTGCAAATGTATTCTTGTTCCTAATGTGTGTATGACATGAAATGTAGCTAATATAATTAATTACCCCATTTGAAACAGAAACTATCAGTCAACTACGATTTGTATAAAACCAGCTACTGACGCTGGGTTTATCATTAGTGAGGGGTTCTATGTTCTGCCATGAAGTGACGGGAAGGGCCACATCTGGGTTTACGGTGGTCCATGACACATCATCAGAATTCTTTTGAAAAATCATTATCTTGGAGTAGTTCCCAACAGCAGACATTTGCTATCTTATTTAATTTCTGAAATGTCTAGTTTCTCGATCCCAATTTACATTAACAATGAAATCATGGCATTATTGACAGTAACGAAGCTATTCCAGCATGCAGCGCACTTCTAACTCGATACAATTCTTTATCTGATTTAATTAGAAGAGGCCGATGTGAGAAGCACCTGGGTGCATCACCTACCTCAAGAATTTAGGAATAACTCAGAATTTTCAACAGCAGAAGACATTAAATTTTGAGTAATAAAACATTTTAAATGATGAAAAAATATACCTGCTGATATCTAAATGCCATCAGACGAATTTCCCAGCTAGTAATGCCAATGTTTATATGTCATATAATTTCTCTCTTAACTCTTACAAAGGAACAATTCGTGTTAACAGTGTTTTAATATTACCCTGACTCCATCACCCTTTTTAGGCTCATAGTACTTGTTCAATAATGTTTGTTCATTTGAATTAAAATTGTCATCATCAGAACTGATTATTTCTTTTAAATCTTAATCAGCTTCTCAACTGTTTGAAATACTGAGAAGGCAGACTGATGGAGAAAAGCTAAAATCAGCCCAAGACTAGACAGCTAATAAGCATTAGAGGATGGATGGAAAGTTATAGCTGATTCTTAGCAGTTCTCTTGTTCTTTCCAGAACCATCACTTTACCTTACTTGCAGGAAACTAGTTCTGTATGTTAACGATGATGTTCAAGAAGTTTCTGCTGAGTCATCCTTAGCTGCCCTTAAGATAGTCTTATGTGTTTGCTTCTCAAAATGGGGTCTCATACCAGACCTACTGAGCCTGAGTTTGCTTTTTAGCAAGAGGCCCAGGGATCAGCGTACACAATAATGTTTGAGAAGCAACAGTCATTTCTTTTTTTTTTTTTTTTTTTTAGCTGAGCCATCCTGCCACGTGTTGGCAGCTCAGCGGCTGCTCAGCTCGGGCCGGGACTCAAACCGCTGTTGCTCAGAGCTCAAACTCTTGAGCGAGCTCTTAACCAACTGAGCCACTCGGCCGGCCCTAGCAATGGTCATTTCAGCACCAATCAAACGCCAATCTGTAAAGATTATTTCTAAGTAAGATTCCATCTTGTTTTCCTAAGATCGATATGCAAAAATGTATAAAAGAATAAAAATGTTAGATTTAAATGATTTAGGAAAATAACCAAACTAGTAACCAAACTGATGTATCATTTATTAAAAATAGATAATTAAAAAAATATCTCTCCTTAGTGACTTTGGATATAGAAGCCAGATATTTAACAATAACTAGGAAGTTTATCACATGATAAGAAGTATGAATATTTCAACGTGTCATTTATTGTTTTTTCATTAATGAGAGGTGTTAAAATACAGTAAGAAAACTTAGTCTGTGACAATGTTGATGAAATCAAACTATTTAATCATAGCCCTAACTTTATGCATAATAATTAAACAAAAATATTAAAGAAATATGAGAATTTCCAGTTCTGTCACATACCAAACCTGACTTAGCAGAAATGATTTAAAAAATCCAACTAAGATCAAATTGTACTAAGCAATTGACATTTTCAGATAAGGAAGAATGCAAATATAAAAATTAACTGGAACATTTTAATTGATGGTTTTCGTAATTCATAGAGCAAAATAAAGACTGAGATTTTTCTATCCTTCTTTTGAAACATTTTAAAAGACATCTTAAATGGTATCTGGAGGGTTGAAAGGGACATATTAATAAAATATGTTAAAATATTCTATCTTTATTCCATTTAAGCTCCTCTGGCATTTAAAAACAAAACAGGGCCACAGGTGTAGATAAGCTTGGCTATCTGAAAAAATGGGAAGGGATTCTGGGGATAAAAACAGATTTGCATGAAAAATTAGGGAAGAGAACATAGTTATAGGGAAAAAAGCAGGAGACAATAAACTGATTGATTACATATAATATATATTTATATCAGGACAATGCTGAGATTATATTGCTAATAGACAATAGATCATACAAGCATCTATGGAAATATGTGAGTACCAAGGAATACGGAAAAACTTCTAACATTTCAAAGGCAATTTAAATCATGCTTGGAAATGGGGCCGTGCTAAGCTTTTTTTTTTCTTTTTAATTTACGCAACAGTTATTCACTAAACACCTGTTGTGTTGAAGGCACTATGCTAATATTACAATAGGGATGTGGGAACTGAAGTGTGCTAATACCAAGGATACTTTTTACCACGATACAATTCACTGCTCAGTTGTAGGCGGGGTAGGGACGGTTAGTGTGACCTCACCCTGCACAGCCCCTCTACTGAAGGTACAGTAAATGTCAACCCATTGGGTTCTTAAGTCACACCACGGGGCTCATCCCATGGTGCAGTCAGGACACGGAGGCCTAGAAAGAAGCAATAATTGACTCAAGGCCCCCCACAGGGGGTGCAGGGCCTCACTTCTAAGCATGTCTTTCTCTTTAGACCAGGAAGCCAGCGCATCCACCGATGCCCATAATGGGCTGGCACGTGTGTGTGTACACAACGGTGAATTTCCTCCAGGTCCTTAGTGTTTCTGAGATCGTAAAGGTGAGTTTGACATCCCTGCTGTTGGAGTGTTTTAACCATAAACACTTTAACCTGTGAGGTAATGATGATGGCGACATTCATATCAAGGATAGTTTCTCTACCTCTCTGACGCCACCCTATAAGATTATGGTTTCCTTAGCAGAGTAGGAAGAACATGGCGGTGGGGTCAAGCCGCGTGGGACTGACTCTGAGTTCCACACTTGATATTTGTATAGCTGGGGTCAGGCCACCCCACAGTGCAGGTTGCCAGCTTTTTCGTCTGTGCCATGGGGACACATGTATTGCCTGTGTCACGGAGTGATCAGGAGTAAATGACAGAAGCTGTTTTAAGTGCTTAGCTCTATGCCTGACTCCTAGTTAGTGGCCAACAGATGGGTTTGTAACAAACCAGTTTCTCGTCCTGCCAGAGATTGAAAGGGGCCTGAGAGGTGCCTGCCACGCTTTCTGAAAGGAGACTAATGCCAGCGAGACCGCCCCAGCCCTGAGACTGCCTGAGAACCCTCGTGGAGTCCACGCAACTGGGTACTTGACACTTTGTCTTCCGATTGACAGTGTTCTCATTTTTATTTGGGGAATGACACCAGGGCTGTTATGAGAACTGAATTAATTGAATGCTGCAATGAAGCTATTCTTACCCTTGGCTGACAGTAGGGTTTGGCCCTCGCGCTCCTCCAGGGCCCACACTAAGCATTTTTGACTCTCACTTTGGTTGTTACTCATGCCCAGCATCTTCAAACCCTGTCTGGCTGGACTCAGCGGCACGTTTGTGGCTTTAATAGCAGTCCCTGGGCTGTCTCAGTTTTGAAGTCACTGAGCTCTGACACCTGCCTTCCAGGGTCTGTGTGTTTCCTCCATAATTCTCCCACTATGACCATTTCACAGTTCAGTGACAAAACCCTTCTGCTCAAGTCTCTGGTCTCAGATACCCACTGAATCAGAACATTTCAACCGGTGACACAATTGAATAGAACATTTCCCCCCAAATTACCAAAGCTTAGTATACTATTTAAAGGTTAAAATGTTCTGTAAAAAAATTGGTAGTTACAAAATAGTCACAGGAATGTAAAGTACAGCATAGAGAATATAGTCAATAATATGGTAATAACTATGTATAGAGCCAGGTGGCATTAGACTAGTGAGGGGGATCACTTCATAAATTATATAAGTGTCTAACCACTATGCTGTGCACCTGAAGCTAATGTAAAATCACAGTGAATAAAAAATAAGATGTTTTGTAAACATTAGAATTTCCGGACATTTACATGTGTAGCTGTAGTATGACCATTCGACAATAAAAACATTAATAGTTGGCATTTCTAATGCACCTCACTGTTCCTCTAATTGCATTCTGAGCATAAAAAGGTAGAAATTCAGAAGTACGAGCTGTGCCTGGCAGTCAAGTGACACTGGCAGATTTCCTGGTGGCCTCAGAAAACAGAACATGCAGAAAACGGAGCAGCAATGTACGTGAACATTTCAAGGTTATCTGGTAAACTGAAAGCAGAGTGAACATACGACATCGCAGCCTTTCCACTGTCAGGAAGAGCAAGGAGCAGACACGGAAAACAGAGAAACAGACGCCCGGCCCGAGTGCGTGACTTCCCACCCTGCCTCCTGCTGGATGAGCCACTGTGACGAGAACACCAGGAGGGCACACGGCCACATCAGATGAACCCGTAGGACTCGCTGCCCTGGGACCTGTGTGTCAAAGTTTGTGTCATTCTAAGGATCTGCTTAAAGACGAATGCGAGGTATCTTCCCCTTCCTTTCTTGAGGTGTATGTGATGATGTCTGTACATTATAAACTTCACAAATATAATAGAGATTAGCACTCATGACTACTTTATCACTACAACTATCTGGATAAATATCCAATCCTTAATTGATCAACATGGAAAACAGATCTGTTGTATATATGTAGATTCTAAAGTGTGATTAGAAAATGAAGAATGCTCTGATTTTTTTTTGTTAGATAATATCACAAAGTTTGAGGACATTGGCGATTAGCACTAGCTAAATTTGTTAAACTAAGAAAAATTAGGACATTGGGCAATTACAATTTCTTATTGCTGAAACTAGAGCAATGTTGCTATTTTTATAGTTAGATTATTAACTGGAGTACTGCTTCCAGTTTTGTCTAAAGATAATACTGTAGACCATGAAATTTTAATTGACTATCTAATTTTACTGATTTTTAGAAAATGTAAAATAAATTGGAATAAAATTAGTTAGATAAGAAATAGAAAAGTGTGTATAAATTTCAACTCTTCACAATTTAGGTTTTAGGTAAAATGTCCCATTGGAATCCATTTTAGATCAAATATTAATATTACATTTTAATAATTTTAGCACCTGATTATCATAGTTAATAGGCATATATATGCTAATTTCAGTGTCACTTAATAAGTATCATTTAAAAATTCCTTATTTAACAAGCTACAAAAAATGGCAGATGTGATCTACAAACAAGTAAATACGGAGGCTTGCTCATTTAAATCAAAGTAAAGGTTTTCCTTCCCTTCCCTTTATGGCAATAACGTTAAATGGCTCTAATGGCAATTAACCACAGAAAACATCTCACACCTCTGGCCAGGGCAAATTTAAAGACTTAATTAATGGATTGATGAAAACCTCTTCTGCCCTACCTGGTAAGATTATCAGAGTAGTAAAAAACCCAAAAGAGATAATCCAGTAAAAGAGGGGAGAAAGAGAGTGAGAGCAAGAGAGAGCAAAGGTAAAAATGAAGTGCCACCTCAAGAGAGATAATTGAATGGGCCACAGAAAACAAATCCCAGCCTCGCTTAGTGCCTCAGGCCATCTGCATTGAAGCACAATACACTTAGAATCTTGCATCAGTTCTAAACAAGAGGAAACACATACCAGGAAATTCCAGAAAAAAATAGGGAAGAAATTCTTAAATATCTTATTCATCTCCTTTATTCACCTTCTGGAAAACAGCATAGATATTGTTTTCATAAAAGTGTCCTTAAGTCCCAACGAGGACACATGTTCAGAATTTGCACGTCTTCGTTAGAGGACGCCCATCACGGACCTGTCGGATGAAAGCCTGGACTGTGCCCCACGTGTCCAGAAGGGCCTGCACCTGAGCTGCTCACCTGGGTCCCGCCCACCCTCTTATGCCTACATCACTGCCAGCCACTGTTTCAGACACAGCTTATGTGTCCCCTCAGGTTCTCTTAGCGCCATCGGCTGTCAAAGGTCCCCACCAGCAAAAGGACAGCTGGACAGATAAATACCTTTTTCTCTCCTCCATAGATTGTTCCCAAGTAGTTCCTGCCTGGAGACAGTCTATGTGGCTGAGGCCTAGATGCCAACGTGCCAGGTGGGTGACTGTGGCTTAAGTGAGTCAGTGGCCAGTGCAGCAAAGCCAGGTGCTCGTGGCTGCCTGGCTTTGCCTGTTCAGTCTCCGTTTGTGTCCTGGGGAACCCGGGCTGAGGTAGGCAGTCTGCTTTGTGGTACCCCTCCTCCCGATCACTGCAATCCGTGGTACCCCCTCCCCCAATGTTAAAGATTATTTTTTCCACATCAGTAAAACTGACGCGTGGGGAGGATTAATAATTAATCGTTTAACCAGGATGCTGACTTCTGATCCTGACTCAGTGTTTTTGTTCTTTTTCTTTTATTGAATCGTTATCTGAATCATTATGCTGCCTGCATTTTTCTTTTCGTGCAGTTTTAGTTTCTCAGCAACGTTGAAAGAGTGGTACAGAGATCTCCCCACAAGCACAGACTCCCCCCTGTCACCATCCCCACCAGATGGTACATTCGTTACAACTGAGAACCTGCACTGCCACGTCACAGCCACCCAAATGCCACCGTGTACCTCAGGGTTCACCCTTGCTGTTGTACGTTCTATGAGTTTGGAAAATGTATAATAGCGTCATTATATCCATCATTATAGTGTCTTTCGGCATTTTCATTGCCCTAAAATCCTCTATGCTCTGTTTATTCAGCTTCCCCAGCCCCAATCCTCGGTGACCACGGGGCTTTTTACTGTCTCCAGAGTTTTGCCTGCTCTGGAATGTCATCTAGTAGGAATCGTGCCTCATGCGGCCTCTTAAAGCTGGCTTCTGTCACTTAGTCATATGCATCTAAGCTTCCTCCATGTCTTTTCATGGCTTGAGAGCGCATTTGTTTTTATCTCTGAATAATATTCCATCATCTCGATGGACCACAGTTTATTTATCCATCACCTACTGAAGCGCATCGTGGCTCCTTCCAACTTTTGGCAATTAGGAATAAAGTGCTATAAATATTCAGGTGCAGGCTTTTGTGTGGACATACGTCTTCAACTCCTTTGGGTAAATATCAAAAAGGGCGATTGGTGGATCAGATGGTAAGAGTATGTCTAGTTTTGTAAGAATACCAGACTGACTTCCAAAGCGGCTGCACCATCTGCATCCCCGTCAGCCATGAGCGAGAGTTCCTGTCCTCATCAGCACTCGGTGTTGTGGGTGTTCTGAATTTGGGTCATTCTGATAGGGGTGTAGCGGTACCTTGTTGTTCTAATTTGCATTTCCCTGATGACATAAGATGAGGAACATCTTTTCATAGTCTCATTTGCCATCCTTTTATCTTCTTTGGTGAGGTGTCTGTTAAGGCTTTTCAATAGAGTTGTGTTCTTACCAGTGAGTTTTAATAGCTCCTTGTATATTTTAGATAATAGTCCTTTACTGGATGTGTCTTTTGCAAATATTTTCTCCCAGTGTGTGGCTTAACTCTTCATCCTATTGACATTGCATTTCACAGAGCAGAAGGTTTTACTTTTAATGAAGTCTAGCTTATTGTGTCTTTCTTTCACAGATCTGCCTTTGTTGTCATATCTAAATATCATCACCATACCCATGGTGGTCTAGGTTTGCTCCCGTCATCTGGGAGTTTTATTGTTTGGTGTTTTACTTTTAAGTCTGTGGTCCATTTTGAGTTAATTTTTTATGCATGTGGGCATCCAGTTGTTTCAGCAACATTTGTTGGAAAGACCATCTTTGCTCCATTGTATTGCCTTTATGCCTTTGTCATTACTTTCTTTCTTTCTTTCTTTTTAATTGGGGAATTGGGGGGATGGGAACAGTGCTGGGGAATTGGGGGAAGGGGAACAGAGAAGTTGCTGTCCTTTTATTCTTCAGTCTAGTTGTGGAGGATGTTGCTTCACTGGCCCGAGTTGGCACCATCATTGTGCTCTTCCTGGGCGAGGCAGATCAGTTGCCAGCTTCTGGACGGCCGCTCACTGCGGCTGCTGGCTACACACCATAGCCCATAGCAACCCACTGCCACAGGGGCTGCAGCGTACACTGTCGCTCGGTGATCACAGCAGCCCAGCTCCAGGTTGAGCTGTTGTTCAGCATCTTAGCTGTAGAGGGCAGTGTCACTGATATGTGGGATCCGAACCGGGGCCCTCTGGCATCCCAAACCAGCTCTTAACCATCGTGCCACTCGGCCAGCCCCATAACTTTTTTTTTAAACAAGTCTTCACTTTCTATCTAAATAGGTGAAGTTTTTGAGGCGTTTTGAGACCACAGACTCTCGTCTGCCTACTTTTGCTTTGTGTTCCGGCTCCCTCTTTTGGCTGTGTTACTTTGGGATTCCTTACTTGACTTTGTGTAAATTTTACATGTGAAATGGGGATAATAGTAGCAGTAACAGCATCCATTTGTTTTGAGAATTAAAAAATATATTAAAAATGCTGAGCATACGTGTAGAAGATAAAGAGTGCCCCCAACATGGTATCTATCTATCTTTATTCCCTTGTATTCTCTGAGAATACAGAAATTCGTAGGTACTTAATTAATATGTGTCTTCTGATTGTATCTATTCTGAAACCTTTGGCTTTTTCTTTCTAGGTCTGGATGTATGTTTATAAATATTACCAGTAAATTCAGTGAGCGAACAGAGAGTCGCTTAGTCAAAGAACCTCTTTTTGTAAAATTACAAGCTACCCGTACATGTGAACTAAGTGGCTGTTTAGCTGTGTGACCGTTCCACTAGGTTGGCTACACCGTCTGCTGTAGTAGAAACATGGAAGTAAAGAAATGTGTTTAAATCAGTGTTACCGAGGGTAAGACA